AAGCAATGAAGTTAGGCAGTTTACTTGGATAGAAGCAGATCTACTACAAAAAGGCAAAAGCTCACTTTCATGATTCTGATCACCAGAAGTTTGAAAAGCTGCAGTTATTAACATTGCTTGACCACTGCATGCCTACGCTTTTCAATGTTGAACACTTACAAGTCTGACAATGATTTTCTGTGGGTCCCCAGCATCGGCCAGTACAGGACTTATGGCAACGCCCACCTGTAGAGCAGGAGAAAGCACACACATTATAATCTTTCGCACTGACTAGGAGTTAACTCCTCCAAGGCAACATTCTTGCTTCTTTATGAGGATTTTTATGTCATGCTAGAGTTGAAACACAGATCGTAATAAACTGCCCATTTTAAGTAGTAAAACCTGAATGGCAAATACATGTGAAGCTGAAATACAGTCTCTTGATATTCAAAATTGTCTCATCATTTACAAGAAAAGAAAATACATGAATTTGTAAATTTTCCTAGACAGAAGTAAATATCTACGTGAAACAAGTTTCACTGTGACTACTGAATGTTTTTATTCCTTGATCTATTCTACTTGATATAATTTCAAAACTGCATGGCTTATTGATACCAACAGATATTAAGAATTAAGCCAACAGTTAAAAAGAAGTTGAAGTCTATGAAAGTGAGACTATATTACAAATGTATGATAAATCATCAGAAAAAAGATTATGTACATAATTTAGGTTATTTTTTTGTTAAAGTATATCATGTCTTTAAAAAATGTTTGAGGTATAATTGATGTACAATATTATATAAGTTTCAGGTCTACAACAAAATGATTCACAATTTTTAAAGGCTATATTCCATTTCTAGTTACTAAAAAACGTTGGCTATATTCCTGTGGAGGAGGTCGTTAAGAGGTTGTGACTGCCCGTTGACTTGTGAGCGGAACCTGGGTCATCGGAGGCACCTTGCCCCTTCCCCTGTCCTTGAAATCTATGTCCCTCCAACTATTCCCATGCTAGCAGCTGTTTCAAGGACACAGCCTTGAGAGAGTAAGGTGTTGTTGAGACCATCTGGACTGAATAAGTGACGGAACCCAGTTAAGATCTCTATATAAACTTTAAGATTCTGGCAGGCGAATGCCGAGGTCTAGTCATCTTGCTGCTGCTCAAGATAAGTCTCACACATAAGTCCCCTTGCTTATTAAACCCGTCACCTGCTGATCTGGAGTGGTCTGCCTTTTCCTTTGGTCTCTCTTTGTCCTTTGTGTACAGAGGTCAATGTGTGAACCAACATTTTTATACAAATATTTCAAGCATTTAAAACAGCTATAGTCTTAGAAAGCTTAATTTCAATTATTTCATGTCTTCTTCTAAAATTTTTGTTGCTACCACCTTCATTTTCAAATAAGAGCCTTTATCTCCTGCAGTGTCATCTTCCTTTTAAGGACTAAGCTGCTATGGGTATTTGCCTTTGCAAATATAGTTGTCCCACAGAGAAATTCCCTAAAAGCTCAACAAAACAATATTAGCTAGAAGAAATCATGTGTAATGACTTTCTTTGAAGTTTGCTTCTGAATCTCTTCGTTTCACTCTAAAATTTTGTGGGTAGACGGGTATGGAATGGGTTTATTTTTAGAGAAAAGTGGACATGAAAATCTACCAAAAATGAAAGCTCTTTATAATACACTTCTTATGATACCTTCTTTGTTATTCTTCCAATATGAATTGTGAGTGAGTACATACATACTTCAAGATGTTTATTTTAACACAGTTAACCATGTTGTACAAACCATGAAGTAGGGTTTATTAAGCGTTTCTGTTTCCATCTTTCCTTGACCCACAGTTTTTAACTCTTCCTCTTGGAAGTTCTTACAACTGGGGCAGCTTTTCTTTAGTCTCTCCTAATGAGACTGCCTGAGAGAACCTAGTACATTAAATGCTTTCACATTTAAGGAACAAATTCAGCAGGTACCTTGGGCTGAATCTCACACCGTCCTAATGGTCTACTCTTCTGCAAGTGAACAGTACTATTTCCAAGTTACTATAACACATAAACTCAGTCCCAGTCAGCCTCTTAAAAGTATCAGGATCCTGGCCACAACAGAGTTTATTTAAAGCAATTCTGTTTGTGAAGCCCTGTGCTGACATCACCAGCATATAATATCCTGTCACTCTACCATCTGTTTATTTAGATCCAAACACATTATAACTACATAATGCAAGCTCATTCTAGCTGACAGGAAAAGGACTCCATCTGGCCTGAACAATATAACTTTAATCAGTGATAATGATAATTATTATTAAAAACCTACTGGAGTTCTTTTGTATAAAGCTAATAAATTTAAATTGATTTATACCAGCGGAAATTAGAAAGGACTGTGAGACAAAATGGAAAGCAATGAAAACTTTTTCTGAGAACAAACTTTTTTATGAGAAAGTAGCTAATGTTAATGTGTTTCTTTAGGTGTGTTAAAATCCTATAAATCGACCCATTAAGTAGTCTGTTAATTGGAGATATCTGAAGCAGAGGATGATCTACCATTTAATCTATGACTTCTCTAATTGTGTTTGGGCCTAATAAAATATTTAGCTTTATTCACTGTGGCCAAACTACTGTCAGTAGTTGTTAAAACAAAATGCTGAGTAACATTAGACATTTTAATACTCTCAATGATCCCCTTTAATTGGATTATGCATTTTTTACCTTCTTATTCTTGCAGTTTTGATTTAGTATCTCAAGACCTACTCCCATATCAAATATAAAAAGAAATATTATTAGAAATTCTGTTTATGATTCTTGCCAATTATCATGGCAAGACTCACCCAGTTGGGTACCCAGTGTAGTAACCCCTCTTAGACACACACACACATACACACAAAGTTTAAATAATTCAACCTTGACTGTCTAAATGCTGTTAAGAGATTTTGTTTGGTAGTTTTCACTTTTCATTCATATTTAAACAGAAATATCAATTACTCCTATAAGAGAAAGCCAACAACTGCTTCTTTTCTAGGATTTTACTCAGACTTATACTCCCTCCACTCCTTTTGAAAACCAAAGGGAGGTAATCCCTTGGCCCACACAATTCAGAGTTCTATTACTACAAATGTGCTGGAGGACCGTGAATCAAATCTGCTTCCATCAGTGATGCTCATTCTGGCCTGCCCTTCATTTCACTGTCTCTAGAGCTTTGAGCCTTTTGCAGTATGCTCAGGCATTCAGTTCAGTTTTGGTCTCCCAAACTCGGTGCTGTATCTCACTCATGCTAACACTATTCTCACTGAGATGTTGCAATTAAGTAAATGTTAAAATATCTGACCAAGATCTCTGACTGCACTGGAGATAGTTCCGAATTAATGCATTTGCCACACTTTCACACTTGCAACCTTGGTTTGATTCTTGAAGATAACTGGGTCATTTATTCTTATGGACTATGATGTTTAACATTTTAAAAAAAAATCTGTTTTTGGCTTTTTGTTCCCCAAAACAAATTTCTGCTGCCCAGAAGTGTTTCCTTAGTAATTATCTATCTAGAATTAGAAAAGGAAACTACAAACTTTTTTTCCTACTTTCCTTTCATCCATCCATCCGTAATTATTTCTCAAGTACTGTCTACAACTGTGTGTCAGGAATTACATTAAGTACTGGAGTTAAGCTGAAACAGACATAGTTACTGTTTCAACACAATTCAGAATTAATTTAGTCTTACTATGAAGGGAAAAGGTTTTGTTTACTCTATATCTAATAGTCACCCTCTATGAATTTAAAGAAAGAAGCCAATAAATCTGAATTTTCAACAGTCTCCTAGCTCAGGAAACAAGAGCTGGACAAAGCTGGGTTGAGCTGGACCATTTCCAATGTAATGCCTGGTAGCTCCGAAGTCCACTACATCCTTTATAAATGATTTATCTATGTGACATCTAAAATGGGGTCAGCCCAGAGCACTGCAGTGAGGCAGATAAAAATGGGCACTGAAAGGTCCCTTGTTTGTATCCCAACAGAAAGAGAAATATTTTATCTATGGATCAGTATCTTACTGGAATATTCTTTCTGTCTTCTACTCTCAGGTGTGCAGTACCTCAGGAGGCTTGATTTCATGGGGAAAATTTCACTAGTATTTTAGTGTGAATGAGTTTTATAAACTATTTCTCTAGCAGTATGTTTTTAAAAACAGAAAAAAGCAATTAGTCAAATACTAGCCTATATAAATGGGAGAAACGTTTTGGGGGCATTGAGACCGCCAGTGCTGTCCAAATCTGCTCTTTTCCATGCTTCAATCTGCTTCATAATTTTTTTCCCATTGTTAATTGTGATAATTCTTTTAAAACTATATGAGAAAATGTCACATAAAAATGAGAATCTGGCATTTCCATTCGGCTTAGTGATAGCACAGTTATTTAAATTAATATTTCTACCTCCTGTCATTCTGACTCAAGCGAAGAGATTAAATATAAAAGAAAACAAAAATTTAAACAAATATTTATGTCACTTTAACAACTAATTTAAAAATAAGTGGTGATTAGTGCACACCAGCATTATTTCAATTCCCAGGTAATCACCTCTGCTTTGACAAGGCATTATTAATCACAGAAGTTAGCAAATACAGCCAAGTTCATCTTTTATGCTTGTCCATCAGATGCTACTAAAAATGTAGCTTTTGTGTTCTTTTCTTAGGAGCTAGAGCCCCTGAGCCAGTTTGATAATTTTAAGAGTTATAAATTCACGCTAGAAGTTTTGCTTGTTTGTGGAACTGCCAGACAGCAGAGATGGGATTTAATATGGACCTCTGCACTGTTTTCCGCAAGTAATATGCCAGGACAGTTGAGGAGTTACAAAATATGAAGTCACTGGCAACCATAAAAGATTATATCCTCATACTGCCTCTAGCCAAAGGCGATGCAGTTACATCCCTGGATTCTTCCTTCAGGACTTTCAAAAATTGGCGTTCTTGACCTCTTCACAATACATTTGCTGGGGAGACAGCGAGCAAAACAGTATCTTTTTCATGACTATACATTATAAAAAAGGGAAGTGGAACATTTATCGAAAGTCTATGCTAAACAATTCCCTCTTCTTGGCCAGAGGGTAAAATGATGAATAAGTCAGTGTTCTGCCCTCAAGGAGCTTTGAAGGATCTGGAAATAGGTAGAAAAATAGGCAAATAATCATAATATTTGCTAAAATATAGGTATGCATAAAGTGGAGAAAAAAGACTTGAAAAAGGCTCTGCAGAGAGGGCGGGCATTTCAGTTG